TAGGAAAGAAGGACCTTATGTTTCACTCTAACTCAATATAAAAAATAGAGGATTTCCTCTCCACAACATTTAGAGATTATTGAATAGTAAGGTAACAAGTGTCTTTTTGAGTGGCTGTTGTGTGAGGACCACTATTTTTTGTTTGTTTTCTTTATTTATTTGAGAGAGAGAGAGAGTGAGAGAATGAGCTGTGGGAAGGAGCAGAGGGAGAGAGAGAAGCCGACTCCATGCGGAGTAGGGAGCCTGATGACAAGGGGCTTGATCTTGGGACCCTGAGATCATGACCTGAGCCAAAGGAAACCGTTTAACCGACTGAACCACCAGATGCCCCACTAACTATTTTAGATTCTAGGTTATATAGTAGCAGAGCAGTGGTTCTCATGTGCCTGGCACGACCCATACTATTGAATCTGTTTCAAGAGTAGGCATGAAGCTCCTTGAGGTAGTTCAGAGGTACATCCCTCCTTACAGTCCACTAAAGTAAAAGATACATTGTCTTTAATACTGAATTTGTAATTTAATTGTAAGAGATAGAATATCATGTTTATATGAAAGTTGAGATTGCAGTCAGCATATTACTGGGGAGCATAATAAAGGATATAATTGTTCAATCAGTTCTTGGTTACTTTTGACAAGATAGGAAAGAATAACACCCAAAATAATACCTACAGTATCACCTTGTAACACAGGTAGCTACATGAATTCTGCAACATCAAATCATGGGCCAAATCACATCTTTAAAAAATATTTCAGTGCGTAGTAAAATCCTGGTACGCTGTAATTTTCCCTCAATGAACTATTCTAGCAAAGTTATGTATTCATGTTTCTGAGTTTCTGCTGTGTTTTGGGCCCCGTCTTACTGATAGGAATACATTAGTAAGCAAAACCAGCTAAAGCCATGGCCCCTTTTGACTTTGGTATGCCTCTTAAAACACTCAAACACTTGTCCAGGAGGATGTTCCTTATGGATAGGTTCTAGTAATCTGTTTGCAGAAGCAGTGAAGGAGGCCTTGGTTTAACCAAGCTAGTGATAAATAATAGAGAATTCACTATCTGTCTGACATTTAAGCTCACATTTGGAAATGCACGTTGTTCAGAACCTGGGATGATACTTTGAGAGTTGTTGACATCAATAAAATTAATTCTTTCCAACTGAAGTATTTATAACACTGAATCTCATTCTTTTAAATTTTATTTTTATATTTGAGTAGTAGAGAATAGTGATTTTGGTCATTTATCATTTTAATGGTTTGATCTTTGCTTCTTCCATCTCTAGTAATGATAGCATGTTGGCTGCTGAACAAGGGGACAGATTCAAAGCAAGCCTTTTTTTAAGCCCAGCTTTCCTAGATACGAACATTAGACTGTTCTGTATTTTCAGGTACTAGAAGTTTTCAGATTTGAGTTCAAAGAGAAGCAGTCACAATAAAAGGGAAGAAGAGAGTCCTCACTTACAGAGTAAATTCATTTTGCAAGTTCTATTTTAAAGAAAGAACAGGGTCTTAACTTTAGTTGGCATTCAATTCCCTCAATTGACCTAATCTTGCTCAGCTAATAGTTAAAATATAAATACTGAAAATTCCTCCAGGCAGCCATGAAAACTTTATATTAAGGTATATACTGACTTGATATATACCTGATTTTACAAATAAACATATTCACAGTATGTACAGGTACATTATATTTGCATCACAAGCCTAGGATGCCACATTTTATTTATGTAAAAGTTTAGAGATTTACTTAAACTTTCTCATCCTGAAGCATTTGATAGTGACTGCTTCTGTGAAGCATAATAACAGTTAATGTTTATAAAGTACTTACTTGTACCCAGTAGAATATTAATAACTGTATTATGCATGAACTAGATTTCTTTTTAGTCAGGTTTACTGAGATACTGTTTATACACAGTGTATAGTTCTGATTTTTGACAATATATATAGGTCATAGAACCAATATCACAATCACTATTCAGAATGCTTCCATCACCCCAGTTTCCTTGTTCCCCTTTGTAGTCAGTGCCCTCCCCACATTCCTAACCCCTGACAACCACTGGTAGGAATTCTGCCCTTTTTGTTATGCCTTTTCCAGAATGTCACATAAGTAGAATCATATAGTATATATTTTGACTCTGGCTTATTTCACTCCCTAATGCTTTTAGATCCATCCATGTGGTACCTGTATTTCAGAAGTTCATACCTTTGTATTGCTAATAGCATTCCATTGTATGGATATACCACAATGTGTCTAACCATTCTCCAGTTAATGGACATTTGGGCTTCCAGTATTTGGTGATTCTGACTAAAACTGCCATAAATATTTAAGTAGAAGTTTTTTTATAGACCTATATTTTCATTTCCTTGGGCATATATCTAGGATTGAGACTCCTGGATTGTCTAATAAGTATATGTGTATCTTTACAAGAAACTGCTAAACTGTTTTCCAAATAGGCTGTACCATTTTGCATTCTCACCAACACTGTATGAAAGGTATAGTCGCTCTGTATCCTCTCTAGCACTTGGTATTGTCAGGGTTTTTTGTTTGTTTGTTTGTTTGTTTGTTTTTAAGTTTTTCTCCTGGTATTGTGACTTTAATTTGGATTTTCCTGTTGAGTAAGGATGTTGAGATTTTTTCCTGTGTTTATCTGCCATCTGTATCTCTTTTTGGTGAAGTGTCTATTCAGATCGTTTGACCATTTTTTTAAAAACTAGTTTGTTATGTTTGAGTTATTAAAGTTTTTTTTATTAAGCATAATAATACATGCACTGGTTTTAATGCTCATAATACTCCTCTGAGGTGGGTACTTATTAACCTAAATCACAGATAAAAAAGTTAGGCCACAGGATTGTTAATATAGCCCAAGAACACACAGCTAGCAGAGCTGGGATTTACACCCAAGCATATTGACTCTAGAACCTGTGCTGAACTGTTTGCCAATTTTTGTGTGTGTGTGGAGATTGATTTCTTGGGGCTGTGATTATAACCAGGATCCAGTTTCTGTAGGCGGTAATTCTTACAGGGACACCCCTGAGCAAAGGGGCAGTATATTGTAATAGCAACTCTGGAATCATTCCCTAGGAACAGCTAGGATATTTGTTGCTGTTGAAGAAGGGTAATTATTTTCACTTTATGTCTCTTACTTCACTTCTACATACTGGTGGTCAAAAGTACCTCTTTGAAATTACTTCTCCAAATATCTGCCATTATCAAGTAATGAGGTACTTCATATAAATGGATTTTCTCAGTAGCAGAAGCTTCTCCTTTTTTATATATCCATACTTCATAAGAGATTTCCCACACTTGTTATTCCCTTTGTCTTTTAGAGACCTTTATCATAATAATGCTGACTTCAGGGCACTTACTGTTTGGTGATATATTTAGGAAGCACATAGAACTTACCGTATAGGATGGCTTCAGGTTTCAGGACTTTTAAAGTTATATTTAGGGGCGCCTGGGTGGCTCAGTTGTTAAGCATCTGCCTTTGGCTCAGGTCATGGTCCCTGGGATCGAGCCCCGCATCGGGCTCCCTGCTCCCCGGGAAGCCTGCTTCTCCCTCTCCCACTCCCCCTGCTTGTGTTCCCTCTCTTGCTGTGTCTCTCTCTGTCAAATAAATAAAATCTTAAAAAAAAAAAAGTTATATTTATTTGTAGTTTTATAGGTTTTTAGTTTAGTTTTCTCTCATTATCCACTCTCTCATTTGTTTGTTCTGACATCATCCTTCACTATTCCCTCTTTCACCCTTATAACTTCTATTTCTAATTAGCTAAAAGATAATCAAATTATTGGGCTTACATGGATATGGTCTAAAATAAATTTCAGCTCTGGGAAACAACTTGGGAGTTTTCCAGTGAACATCCCCTGTGACTGTTCAAAGGACCTTTATTTCTTGTTTGGGATCCAAATAGTCATTCTAAATAAATGAACTCTAAAGTAAGCTAACCATGACGTTTGACAGTAGAGAAAGTGATGTGTTTTTCTCTTTAGCATAATTTTTTATTAACAATTTATTAAACCATGGGGATTATCTTAGTAAAAAGGTAAATCAAACAGTGTTCAGCAGAGTGGAATAAATAGGCACTTAATGGGCAGAAAGTCGGTTCACTATCATTATGTTTTGTAGCAGTTTGTAAAGTTCCTGTCTGAGTCAGTGACAGCTTGTCCTCTCAGCTGTGCCTCTAGTAAGGCGGAGTAATTACTTCCAAGTAATTAACTAAAGGAAGAAAACCTTGCCAAATCCTATTTACTTTTTGTAAAATATTAAGATGAAGGCTAGCTAGTGAGTAGCACTTTATCGTGTAAAGCACTGTTGAAAGTGCTTAATGCTTTCAAGCCATTTTGACCAATTTAAGCTCTTACTTAGAGTAAATTAATAAATATTCACCCAGGGGACAGGCTGAGTAGTTGTACTAACACTGCAACTGCTTGGGCACCTTGTCAGATGTATGAGGACTCGGAGAGCAAAGCTTTGCTGTCTTTCATTGGCAGCCTTAGGACCAACCATGTAGGGTGCAACATGGTGCCTGGCACGTGGTAGGCTTTTATTTGTGGAAAATTTTGTTTAAAAGGTAAAGAAAACTGTGACTATCGCTTGTAAGTAGTAGAATCATGAACCAGGATTGCATTGGTGATTTCTTTAAAATAGAGTTTTATAAAGCTTGCAGTTCCACTTAGAGTCACTTTGCTCTATTTTAGTTTCTTACTAACCCTGGATTTGTTTTAAATTTTATAAATCAGATTAATTCAAACTTACTTTTCCACTGAACTTTGCATTAGGAAATTAGAAAGTAGATTTTATGTTTAGTGAACTTGTAAATTGCATCTGATATTGTAGTTTGGTAGCTTTCCAGATTACGTAGCAATATACCTCTTTCTTATAAGGGTTAATGAGTAGCCTGGTTAGACTCACCAGCCCATTGTTACATTAAAAGCCAGAAAATTTGCTGTCTCCCTTCCATTCCCTCCCACATCGTTTATCTTTTCATAGTTTTACTTTACTTGATATATTAAGATAATTTTTAAAAGTTGAGATTTTATTTTTTAAAACAACATACGGTTTTAATTTTATTTCCTTGTAGATCCTGATTCCTTTTTGTTGTTGTTAATTTTAAATTATGGTAATTAACATGAGCTGAATAGTGGTTTAATCAAGGTAGATCTTGCTCCGTGGCTCTACATCCCTCTTTTTTCTATACCTCTCCTCTGTTTTTACCTGTAGATTTGCATGTTTGACCTAGCAGAATAATTGGGTCCACAGCAACATGGGCGTGCCTCCCTTAGAAACACTTAGTTTCATGTATGACTCATAGGCTGAAGCACAGACACCACTTCCCCAATCTACAGGAGCCATTTTAACAGCATAAAACTTGCCGGACTGCTTTTTATTTTCAAGCCCAAAGGACAAAAAGAGAACAGGAATATTTGAAGGTAACTTATGATTTTGTGTGTTTGCTTCTGGCTGTTTCCTGAGCTGATAAACGGAGGGTGGCTCTTACCTGTCGAAGAACATGGCTGAATGTGTTCTTTAACTCTCTGAAAAAATGTGTGTAGTCAGTCACATGCCTGATTGCACTTAACTGCGAGGGGGAAACAAAGCTTTCAAAATCTGGAAAGTTTTAGATCTTCTTGGAAAAGCATTTTTTATGTTTTACATGATTTTTCTTTCTTTCTTTCCCTGTATGAGTTGAGAATAAAGGAGACTTTCTTTTTCATACCACAAAACAAAGTTCGGTCAAATTTTCATTTTTAAAAAATCTAATTGTATTTATGGATAGCCAGAAAGTTAGAGTTAAGTAAACTGTACAATTCATGTGTGATACGGGAGTTAAGAAAAAAATTCAGAGGCACTGGTTCTCTTTTGGCATTTTGGTTAAAGGGAAGTCTGGGGACAACTCAGTCATAGGTGTTGCTCATTGACTGTTCTGTCCTTTTCTTTTTTCTTAAGTTAATGAAATTATACTAAACATTAATTTTTGAAAACTAAATAGAAGTTTAAGGAAAATGAACAGTCATTTAGATAATAAGTAAAAGTGGTTATTAAATAAAGAGGAAGAAAGAACAGTTCATTTACTGTTAGAAAAAAAAATAATAAAGTTTTATAATTCACACTGGAAATGTATTCTGAGAAACAACCTTAGATGCATGACTAGCTTCTGAGGAAACATGTAGTATTTCAATTTGTGTATAAAGAAAAAGTAAAGAGTACTGGCCTTCCTTCTATATTACTGTTCTTAAAATGTGTTTGTTTTGAAGCAAAAAAGTAATACCTTTCGTGTGAAAGAAAAGATTGCTCAGTCTTTTCCTGGAATATTTATCATCATTGAAATTACGAAGTTCTGGCTAGCGTATATTCTGGTGTGCCTTGAAGTTCTCGGTCCTCTGAGAAGCTGGGTGCAGTAGTATTTTACTTATGAAAGCTATTTATGAAGTTAAAATTTGAATGAAAGTAAAATTTGAATGTTCAGTGATTATGAATAACATTTTTGGAAACCAAAAAGTCGTATTACTGACTATAATGATATTTAGCAAATTCTTTGGAAATTTGCTGTTGTTAACTTTGTAAGTGCTTGAAGACCTATCAGATAAAAGGGAAGGTATAAAGGCAGTTAGTTATGCTCTTGGAAAGGATCGTTACATTAACAGATCTCAATTCTGTGGTTTTGCAAGAAAGGCATAGCAGACATTTTACCAGTTCAACTCTGAGCCATTTGCTATCATCTTGCTGGTTTAGTCAGCCTTTGAGTAAGTAGTGGCTGTATTTACTTCTACTCTGGTCTGTGTGAAAAATCTAATGAAACCTTTTTGCCTTTTTTTTTTTTAAGTTTTTAAAAGCCAGTGACCCATCAGAGAAAAATCTAGTGGTACACAAATAACCAAATAGTTAAGATTTTATTTATTAAAGAGAAGTAGAAGAATTTAGTTTCTTAAAATTAAGGGGCCGTTATAATTTAAATAAAATGGTACGGGTCATATATTTCTGTCTCTTACCCATGTGACAAAGACTGAAGTGGGACTTCAAGGAGAAGGGAAGGGAAAAAAAAGCATGGAAGCAAGGGACGGCCAGAAAGACTTACTTAGTAGTCTTCTTCCCACTCTTTTCCTTTCATAAGGTTGAATATAAGTTTAAATTGAGTCATCAGAATTAAACTTAGAATTACCCATTCAAAGAACTGGAGCACTGAAGATCGTTCAGTGGCCTCACTTTTATAGATGAAGACACAGTGGCCGGAGGGGTCTTGTGACTCGCTCAAGGTCGTGCAGCGCTTAGTGGCTGGAGCTGCTCATGCTAGTCCACACTAACAAGTGATGCTTTGTTTGAAATGGGCTCTGTTTCCTTAGGAATAAATAAAACCTTAATTAAGTTGGTTGGTGATAATTTTGGTAGCAAGATGCAACCAAATGATTCTGAAAATGTGTTCAAACAAGTTTCCTTTTTCATCAGAAGATGATGGATTTATTTAATTTCTACCACAGCTTGTTTTCATTATTATAACTTTTTCATAGTTGAAGCATTGTTTATGACATTGCTTGTTTAAAGACGGGTCTAGGGGAGATGGAAATTTAAGGAGTTGGGAATTTACTCTGAACTTGTAGATACAAAGACAGATTTATTTCTGCCTTAGTTCTATCTCCTGTTCTTTTAGGAAGGCAAATACTGTTTTAATAAGATGTCTTATTCTTTTAAAGTGTGTGTGTGTATGTGTGTAAAACTTTGCATATGAGTTTACAAAATCTAGAAGTCTCTAAACTCTGACATTATACTCATTTTGAACCGAAACTTTCCAGAATTAGTAATCTCATTCCATTTGTTTGTCATATCTTCTACTCCTTTGAGAGTTTACTATGCATAGTAGGCACTTCTAGAATCTTCTGGGCATACAAAATCTTTGTTAACTTTTTGATGTGTTTTATTGGGGTGGTTGAAATTTACTTTAGATCTGCTTTCTTTAAGTCTGAAATTTGTTTTTTTTAAAATTACTTTGCATGTAACTGTTGAATCTCCTAAGTCTCCAAGTCCCCTAAGCCAATTCAGTATCAGACCCCCCACAATGTGGTTGTCATTGTCCTAAAGAACAGACAGCACAGAAGTGGCTGGAAAACATGGGCCCTCTCCTCACAAACTTAGATTCTTTTTTTTTTAAAGATTTTATTTATCTATTTGAGAGAGAGCGAGAGCAAGAGAGAACACAGGCAGGGCCAGGGGCAGAGGGAGAAGCAGACTCCCCACTGAGCAGTGAGCCAGACCTAGGTCTCAATCCCAGGACATTGGATTCATGACCTGAGCCAAAGGCAGACGCTTAACTGCTGAGCCCCTGAGCCACCCAGGTGCCTCACAAACTTACATTCTTACTGGGAAAACAGGGCGTGGCAGCATCGGGTTAAATAAGAATGGAACCAAACCACTGTGAAGTTACATTCAGGCTTAGACTCTTTAGGTAGAGGTGAAACATGACTGAAACTTACAATAGGGAAGAGTATGGCTCTTTAGGAATTACTAGTATTGAAGAATGAGTAGTATTTGCCTAGGTTAAGAGGAGTGTCTTGACCAATGAGAATGTAAGCTCTTTGAGGTCAGAGGTGTTTTATTTTTCTGTCTTTTTGAACCACTGACAAAAGTACGGAGCACATACGAATACAGTTACGATTTGCTGCATCAGAACCTCGGCTACTCAGTTGGGCAGATTCTGCTGAAGTTAGGGGTGGCAAACCTTTAAAAGGCATGTGTCCCTCAGCTTCGTCGGTCTGATGTCTGTACATCATAACCATTCAAAGGAAAAATGAACACCTACCTGGTAGTATATGTTTTAAAGCAGTGATTTTCAACCTTTGGTGTAACAGAGAATCACCTGGTTCCAACCCTGAGATTCTGATTCATTGGGCCTAGGGTTTGGCTTATCAGTCAGCATTTTTAATAATTACCCTAGATGATTGTGGTGCAAGTGCTTGTAGGCCACACTTTCAGAAAAAGAGTACAGGTTTAGGAAGAGCAATCAGTTACTTGGCAGTTTAATATTAGAATTTTTAAGCAACAGGGATATTTTGAAGCCTGCAGCCTCTGGTAAGTCAAGAAAGTGACTGGAGTAGTTTATTATCAATATTAGAACTTATTCAGCCTCTTCTCCCTACCCAGTTATTCCTTTCTTTATTCCATTTTTTGCTATTCTGTGTCTTTAAGCTTTGTGGCTCTCCCTTTTTCTGCTTCTCTAATTCTGCTTTTCCTCCTGTCACACCCAAACCCACCACTATATTGACCACAGTAAATAATTAAGCTAATTATTTTTTTTCCAAATGTAGTTAGCCTAGTCTTTATCTCAGTGAACCATCACTCTCCCAGTGTTAGTTTTTTTAGTACCATCTGGTACTTCATGGCCTTCTCTTCATTCCCTTATCCTTGGGTTTCTAGGCAAAACATTCCCTTCCTGATTTAAGGTAGCATTTATAGCCTTTGAAAATCCTTTTCTCCTGGGAAATAAACTTTTATTATTGGCAGTTGTTTGAGTCTGGGAAAGAGGTTTTTTTGTTTTGTTTTTAAGAACCATGTAATGCTTGGTTATGATTTTTGAGGTTTCTTTGGACATTTAACTCCATCACTGATTGCATATTTGTACCTTATATTATATCCCATCTAATGGAACATAGGCGGTCACAGACTCTTGTAGGGATGGGAAGAACAGTCCATCAGTTGGATGGTCTGAAAATAATTACTGTTTCCGTTGTTTGGCCAGAATATTTTGTTCCTCTTCAAGGTAGCAGGAACTAGTATGACTTTACAAGATAAAAAGTCATGTAAAGTTCATTATCTGTGTGATGGATGCCCAGTCATATAGTGGGCCTTGTGTTTGTGCAAAGTTGTATAATTTAAAAAAATCTAAGTTAAGGAAAATTTCTTATTTTTTGTGTTTTGGAAAACAGTCCTATGAACAGTGAAACTAAAACTATAAATATGAGGTGTTGAATTAATAACTTTATGTGCATCTTATTTTTTTAAATCAAAGTACTAAATGGAAGCTTATATTGTAATGGGGCATTTCATTCTCTTTTTTGTTTTAAAACTGAAATGTACATGTAGGAGAATCTATAAAACATACACAGTTTGAATATAATTACAAAGTGTTTACCTGTTACACAGACAACCTAGGTTAAGAAGTAGGCCCCTTATGTTAGAAATCCCCCACTGCTGCCCCATGTTTGTTTCTTCTTAAAAATAATTACTATACTGACTTTTGTGATAACCTTTTCATTAAATTTTTACCCCTTTGAACTTCATGTAAATGGAATCACAGCGTATATATTCTGTAGTGTCTTGCTTTCATTCAACTTTGCGAGATTTATCTTAATTAATTTTAATTGCCATGTTTTACTCCATTGTCTGTCTAGACCAGAATGTATTTACTGTCTTTTGTTGATGGCATTAGATTATTTCCAGTTTGGGAACATTCTTGCACACGGTTCATGGAACATATGTGCAAGAGTTCTCTAAGGCAGTATCATCACATTGAGGTATGAGAGTTGTTTACAAAGAGAGTGGAGAGAATGGATAGTTCAAGATAATTTAGAGTTCTTCATTATCTTTCGTAGGAACAGATGCCTGCCATTGATGCCTTCTTACCCATTCAGCATCTTACTATGGTGTATTGTCCTGGGGGGTAAAATCCTCGAGGACCCTAAACAGATGGGCAATTGATGCATTTCAGAGTAAGTTTTAGACATCAACATATTTGACCACTAAACACTTTAACCTGCTTGTCATTTATTAACTAAAGTTATTTCAAACAATTTTGAATTAAATTTTTAATAGAAGAAATACAGTATAGTCCCAGTTATGTACATAAAAACAATGTGATTTTTGATACATGTGTATTGAAGCTATAAAAATATGGACAGATAGGGGCAACATCAAATTTAGAATAGTTGGGAGGGATAAATGAGATTAGAGAGGGATATATAGGAGGCCTTAGCTATATGTGGCTTTCTTTCCTTAAGAATCTGAAACAAATTATGGTACAATATTAGTGTAAATAAAGCTGGATGATGGCTATGTGAATGCATTCTCTTTCTCTTTGGTTGAACTATTTCATAATAAATTTTGAAATTTTGCTGTGTAAGGGGTAGTTTATTTTTGCCCCACATTTATAAATAACTGAGGAATAATGTTAATTTGATGAGGAACAGAAGTTGATTTTTTAAAAATGGTGAGTAAAATCTACATCATAAAGTATGTTAACTGCCTGCTTCAGTGAAAGATTAGCTCGATTCAGAACTAAGTTGTAATGACTGTGTGTCTGTCCCATATAACTAATAAGATGGCTCTAGACATTCTGATGGATAACTTCCAGTTGAGATCCATTAACAAGTTGGAGTTTTGTTTGCTAGAAATAATTTAGTATTTAGAACCATCCCACATTCATATATTATTCATAAACACATTTCAGGGGCGCCTGAGTGGCTTAGTCAGTTAGGCATCTACCTTTGGCTCAGATCATGATCCCAGGGTCCTGGCATTGAGCCCCGCATCATGCTCCCTACTCATCAGGGAGTCTCCTTCTCCCTCTGTTCCCCCCTCCACCATGTGCGCGTGCCTGCTCTCTCTTTCAAATAAATAAAATCTTTAAAAAACACATTTCAGAACAAAAAGATTCATAAGACACACACAATTGATAGAGTATTAATTGACACTATTGATGAACTTCAGTAGGCTGTTACCCCAAATTAAACTTTTGCATCTAACCAGATTTATTGACATAATGTCTTCATCTTGCTTCCTTAAAATTCTTACTATAATGATAGCAATTCCTGTATCTTTAGTGATTTTTTTTGTCATTATAAACTTGATATGGAATCTCTATGTATGAGGTTTCCAAAATTTAGTAATGTAATTGTGGGAATTGCTATTAAAAAAGTGAAAACATAGATCTTAATCCAGGTTTTTGCTTTCATAATGATCTCTTGGCTCTCTTTTTACGATTTTCCCCACAGTGTATGTCTAAGTAATAGCAGAAATGGCAGGGACAGAGAGGAACAAATGGAAGTAGAAGTCCTAGGATTTTATAGTAAGAAGGATTCTTGTTAAGTCCTGTAGTTCAGGAGTCTCCTGAACTTTTTTTTATTAAATTCCTTTTCAATCTGTATAATCTACTGATTCGTTCAACAATTATTTATTATCTCTTAGGCATTATTCTTGATGCTGGGGAATATATCCATGAACAAAACATAGAAACTTTATTCATACATTATATACATATACTCTATTAATTAACTTCCATTTAAAATGTATTCTAGGGGCACCTGGGTGGCTCAGATGGTTGGGCGTCTGCCTTCGGCTCAGGTCATGATCCCAGGGTCCTGGGATCGAGTCCCACATCGGGCTCCTGACTCAGTGGGGAGTCTGCTTCTTCCTCTCCCTCTGCCTCTCCCACTGCTCATGCTCTCTCTCTCTCTGTATCTCTGTGTCTCAAATGAATAAATAAAATCTTTAAAAAAATAATAATAAATTTTAAAAATGTATTCTAATGTACACAAAGATTAGAGAAAGTTACAGATAAATTAGTGATCCTCAAACTGCTTTTGGTGAGACACTGAGATGAAGAAAGCAAACTAGGACTTATATATATATATTTTTAATTTCTTTTCTTTTCTTTTTAGAACTTATATTTTTAACAGCTTTATTTTACCAAGGAAATGTATCCCAGAGAGTTTTCTTTTCAATATAACGTTCTTCTGAGAAAGGATCCCTGTAAAGGGCATTTAATAAATAATAATAGCCCATCCTTGTAAAGAATTCATATGTTGACAAATATAACCCCATGGAAACAAAAGCTCTTCATGGTCCTCAATAACTTTTAAGAATATAAATGAGTCTTGACACCAAAAGAATGTTGCATGATTGCAACCAGTGTTTTAAATATCATTCTTACAGATTTTTTTTTCCATTCTTAAATTTTATTTAGGAAACTATGGTTAAATAACTTGCCTAAGATTGGATAATTTAATAGATCACTGATACTTACCGCATTTGATTTAGTCTTTTCTCCTATTGATAATAAAGCAGAGTTTTACATAAATTAGAGTTTAAAAAAAATCACAAGTGTTCTAAACCAGAGGTTTTTTTCCCTAATGATGAAGATAGATGATCACTTTACCATATATTTATTTGTGCCCTTCCAAGTTCCTTCCACAAATAACAGCAAACGTCACTAAAATTGGGGAGAGTATTGGGGCACCTGGGTGGCTCAGTCAGTTAAGTGTCTGCCTTTGGCTCAGGTCATGATCCCACGGTCCCGGGATCTAGCCCCAGGTAGGGCTCCCTGCTCAGCGGGGAGTCTGCTTCTCCCTCTGCCTTTGCCCCTCCCCCTGCTTATGCTCTCTCTCGCTCTCTTTCTCTCAAATAAATAAATAAAATCTTAAAAAAAAAGTTGGAGAGTATTAAGTTATTATATTTATATTTAATATAAGTTATCAACTACAGTGATTATTAAATATGTAATATATATTTAATACAATTATACTTATATTTAAATTATTATATTTAATGTTAAAATATTAAACTTGCTAGTAAAGGAATGCAAATTAAATGAAATTACTTTTGCCCATCATATTGACAAAAAGTCAAAATACCATTAAATGTGCCTGCATGTATTCTGTTGATAGCAGTATTAACCAAAAAGCCTTCTGGAGAGCAGTTGACTTCTATCAGATGCTTTGAAAATGTACCTATCTTTTGACATAATAATCTCAATTGTAGGACTCTATCTTAAAGAAAATTTAAGAATGGGAACAGTGATGAAACTATGAAGATACTTGAACCACTGGTTTTTAATAGCCCAGTAGTTTACGAACTCCATATCTTCCCAAAATTTGTTTTCTTTATACTCTTAAAAATTATTGAGGATCCCAAGAGCTTTTATTCATGTGAGTTACATTTATCAGTATTTACCAATATTAGAAATTAAAACAAAATTTAAAAATATCGATACATTAATTTCCTAAAAAATAATAAACTCATTACATGTTTACTTAATTATTTTTATAAAAGACAACTGTGTTTTCAAAAACTGTATTGAAAGGAGTGCAAATCTTTTTTTTTTTTTTTAAAGATTTTATTTATTTATTTGACAGAGAGAGAGAGAGCGCACAGGTAGGCAGAACAGCAGGCAGAGGGAGAGGGAGAAGCAGACTCCCCGCTGAGCAAGGAGCCCGATGTGGGGCTCGATCCCAGGACCCTGGGATCATGACCTGAGCTGAAGGCAGACGCTTAACGACTGAGCCACCCAGGCACCCCGAAAGGAGTGCAAATCTTTATTTAATCTTTGGCTTAACAGAAGATAGCTAGATTTTCATATCTGGTTCCACATTAAATCTGTTGCAATATGTTGCCTTTGTTGAAGAATGTGAAGAAAATTTGGCCTAATACAGATGTCTAGTTGGAAAAGGGAGATGTATTTTAATAGCCACTTCAGATAATTTTGTGTTTTTACTTTGATACTACACAAAAACTCAACAAATGCTAGTTTCTTAAAGGTTAGTGCAAAGGGACTCTGAAACCCTATCAATGAACTTTTTGTCCTCTGTAACGTTAAAATCCATTTGTCTGTCTTACACTTTGATGAATTAATGTTTTTCTGAGACAAGATTTTATAACATAATTAATTGGTCATCTGAGTATTCCAAATGTTGACCTAATATTTTTAAAAATCACATTTTTAAATATTATACCAGTCTTATCAAAAAGTCTTTTAAGTGTTGGAAAGCTAATAAGCCCAAAGTAGTGTACATCAGTTTTCTAAAATTCTGATTTGCAGTTGAAAGTTCACATTTTATCATTGGTGACAAATGCTGTTGTTTTCCGTGAAGTGACAGGGTCACTTTATTCATTTTTGGGAACATGGCTGCCAAATACCCAGTTATGAATAATAAGTAGTTCTTTGAAGTAAAAATGGCATTCCATGAAAAAAGCAGCTAGTTTAGCTCACAACTAAAGTAATTAGTGGAGAGCCTGGCTGGCTCAGTCAGTAGAGCATGTGATTCTCCGTCTCAGGGTCGTGAGTTCAAGTCCCAAGCCCCTCATTGGGCATGGAGCCTACTTTAAAAACAAAAAACAAAAAAGCAAAACAAGTGGTGCTTTTTGTCAAGACAACCATTCTGTTTTAGAATTTGACAGAAGTACTTTCATGTGTACTTCCCGTTTTATCACTCACAGTGTTAAAAAGGCATGTATTTAATGGTTGAAATTTAAGAAAAAGTTTTACTCTTCATCAAGGACGTTCTTAAGTGAAACTGCCTTCTTTTAAATGTGAGTGCCTCGTGGTAAAGAATACAATGACTAGTATGGTTTGGTGATACAGCCTGATTCATGCTAAGGCTAATATTTACATCTACCTTTGCTTTTGCACTATTAGTGTAAATGTGACCACTGTGAGAAAAGGCAGATATAGTACCCTAGTATTACTATGAAGATAGTTTTGACCTCATGAACTCTCTGATGAAAGGGCTTCTGGATCCTCTGTGGGTCTGAGGATTACATTTTGAGGACCACTATAAAATGGCAACATTAGAAATAGTCCAAATGTCCAAAAATGGGGCTTGGTTAAATAAGTGATGGTACTTCTACACAATTATATGATAGTTTATGTTAAATATGAACTTATTATACAGTATTTTTCTGTGTTTCTTTTTTTCTATGTTGGGTGCCCTCTTTA